TTAAATAACACACAAAATGCCTTAATGATAAGGGAAAATATTTTAAAATTGGGCTATGGTAAAATCAAGAATTTCACCCTGGCCAGTATGCTCACTGATTAGAGCATCGGCCTTTACACTGAAGGGTTGAGGATTCAATTCCCAGTCAAGTGCATGTACCTGGGTTGCAGGTTCGATCCCTGGCCCCAGTCAGGGCATGTGTGGAAGGCAACCCATCAGTGTCTCTCTCATGTCGATGTTTCTCCCCCTCTCTCACTCCCTCTCTTCTGCCCACTCTCCCTCCCTCCCACTCTATCTAAAAGCAATGGAAAAATATCCTTGGGTGAGTATTAACAACAACAAACAAACAAAAAAGAATTTCAAGAACAAAAAACAAAAAAATCAAGAACAAAGTTGGAAGACTGATGACTTCAAGACTTACTATAAAGCAACAGTAATCAATACAGCCCAGTATTACCAACAGAATAGACAACTAGCCCTGGCCAGTGTGGCTCAGTTGGTAGGAAGGTCATCCCATGCACCTAAGGGTGGCAGGTTTGATTCCCAGTCAGGGCACATAACCAGGTTGTGACTTTGACCTCTGGTTGAGGGGCATGTAGGAGGCAGCCATTCAATGTTTCTCTCTCTCCCTCCCTCTCCCTTCCTCTTGCTAGAGCCAATCTTAAAAATTATTAAAAAGTGGCCCAGAGAATAATTTTTTTAAAAAAAGAACAGACAGGATAGAAACTCCAAAAATAGACCCACATAAATACAGCCAATTAATCTCTGACAAAGGTGCAAAGACAATACAATGGAGCAAAGACAGTCTTTTCAACAAATGGTGCTGGAACAACTGGACATCCATCCACATGCAAAAAAAAAAAATGAATCTCGACACAGGCCTTATACCCCTCACAAAAATTAACTCAAAATGGACCACAGACCTCAATATATCAATAAACACACACAAAACCCATAAAACTCCTAGAAGATGACATAGAAGAAAATCTAGATGACCTTGGATGTGGCGATAACTTTTCAGATACAACACCAGAGGCATGATCCATGAAAGAAAGAATTGATGAGCTGGACTTCATTAAAGTTAAAACGTCTGCTCTGCAAAAAGCACTATTAAGAAAGTGAAAGGACAAGCCACAGACTAGGAGAAAATATGTGCAAAGGACACAATAGTATCTGATAAAGGACGGTTACCCCAAATACACAAAGAACTCTTAAAACTCAACAATAAGAAAACAAGCAACACAGCTAAAGAAATGGGCCAAAGAACCTAACAGATACCTCACCAAACAAAATATGCAGATGAGAAATCAACACATGAAAAAATGCTCCACCTCCTATGTCATTGGGGAAATGCAAATGAAAACAACAGGCGACCACTGAACACCTACCGGAATAACGGAAATCCCGAACACTGGCAACACCGAATTCGGAGCCCTCAAGCACTCTCGTTCGCTGCTGGTGGGAATGCAAAATGCTACAGCCACTTCAGGAGACAGCTGGTGGTTTCTCACAAAACTAAACATCCTCTCACCCTGTGATCCAGCAATCACGCTCCTTAATATTTACCCAAAGGAGTCGAAAATTATGTCCAGAGAAAAACCTGCACATGGATGCCTATAGCAGCTTTATTCTTAATTGCCCAAACTTGGAAGCAACTGAGATGCCCTTCAGTGGGTGAGTGGATAAACTGTGGCACATCTGGACAATGGAATATCATTAGTACTAAAAAGAAAGGAGCTATCAAGCTATGTAACAACATGGAGCCGTGGTCGGCAAACTGCGGCTCCCGAGCCACATGCGGCTTTTTGGCCCCTTGAGTGTGGCTCTTCCACAAAATACCATGTGCGGGCGCGCATGTACAGTGCAATTGAAACTTTGTGGCCCATGCGCAGAAGTCGGTTTTCGGCCTGGGCGAGTCTATTTTGAAGAAGTACTGTTGTTATTTGGCTCTGTTGACTAATGAGTTTGCCAACCACTGACATGGAGGAACCTTAAATGCCTATCACTAGGTGAAAGAACCTTAGGTAATCTGAAAGGCTGTGTACTCTGTGATTCCAACTACATGACATTCTGGAAAAGGCAAAACTACAGAGACAGTAAAAAGATCAGTGGTTGCCAGCGGTTAGGGGAGAGGGAGGGAGGGATGAATTGGTGAAACACAAAGGATTATTAGGGGAGTGAAAATGTTCTGCATGACACTGTAACATTCCCATCACACCACAAGGTGGATGGGTGTCATTATACATTTGCCCAAACCCACAGAGTGTACAGACCAAAAGTGAACCTTAACGTAAACTGCAGGCTTTGGGTGAAAATGATGTGTCAATGTTCATTGATTTAAAGGTTTTAGAAAATGGAAAAGGGAAATATTTGCATAGATAACTATTGCCACTTAAGAAGCTGCTGATTGAGTGAGGGCCATGCTCCCCTGGACTTCCTTCTGCTCCTGTGGTCAGAACAGCTCAGCCAAACTCTTCCCCCAAAATTCAGAGGGCATCTCTGCTCCTGCCACCTGTGTTTTCATCCCCACGCCCAGAGGTGAGGCAATCGGGCTGCAGAAGTTTGGGACAGGGCGGGAGTGGGGAGGCAGAGCAGTGCTGGGTGAGGACAGGCTGCTCAAGACCCAACCAGAGGTGGTTCTTTACGGTGACAGTGATGGCAAGTGGCCTGTTAACAGAGCACATGCTGGTCCCTGGCTGTTCTAAGTGCTTCACATGCATTCCTGCCCCACCCTTTTTCATGGAGATACAATTCACATACCATAATATCCACCCTTTAAGAGCATACAATTGGATGAGTTCTAGTTCGGCCACTAAAGGTTGTGCCACCATCACCACTACTTAGTTCCGGAATATTTCCATCGCCCCACAAGGGAGCCCTGCGCCCATTAGCAGTCTCCTTGACACCCCCACCCCAGCAGCCTCCAGCACCCACTGCCATCTGTGAACAGGAATGGGGAGGGGGGGGTAAATTCAACAGGAGACCCGCCCCAAGGTGGTGCCCATCAGAGCTGTGGTCCAGCTCCTGTGGGGCATCAAGACTCGGGCAGAGCCAGGTCAGGATCCGCTGCAGCGAGGCAAAGGCTTTGGCAGAGGTGGTGCCCCACACGCACTGGGGCGTGGCACCAGAGCACACGGCGGGCCGGGTGTGTCCAGACGCTGTGTGCCAGGGGTGGAGATGCTTTCCCTGCAGACTGGGCGACCAGGTGTGGGTGCCTGCAGTGTGCAGGGCGTGGGGGAGGTGTTCTGGGGCCTGGGGGGCGGGGCTTGGTTGTGTGGGAGCCACCCCCAGTCTGGAAGTTGAATTGTTCACATATTTTTGTGGCTGGAGCAAGGGAGAAAGACATTTTTGTGGGCAAGAGCAAAATTATTGGCCTTGGAGCTTAATATTTTTTATCAGTCTTGGCTCTAGGTTAGATGAAAAGACTGCAAGACAGAGCGGGTTGGGGGTGAACAGTCTGGGGACACTGACGCCGCTGAGTGTCTCTGACCGGGGGCATGTGTGGAGGACGGGGTTGTCCCTGTGATCTCTGGCACCCGGTTGTCTTCCGGGGTTGGTGGCCCGGTCCAGTCAGCACAGGCTCGCTGCCAGGTCTGCAACTCAGCTTCTCTACTGTTAGCAGCGGGGCAGCATGGGCCTGATGCTGCCCCCCAAGGCCCAGCGGGTGCTCGGTGCACGCTCAGGATTCCTGCGGCCAACCTTCCTCCCTGTCCAGGAGCTCATGCAATAGGAAACGCACCCCATGGGTTCAGCGTTTAGATTGCAAAGGCCTCCTGACTCCGTGAGCAGTTTGGTTCTTAGACTCCAGGCAGAGGAGTGTTGCTCTTTGAGGCACTTGCTGTGTGACCCCAGACGTGCCAGCCCCAGGGCGGCCTGGTGGCTCTGCCAGGGTCTATTACTGCCAACATCCAGTCAGGTGTATCAGGCAGAGGTGAGGGTCAGCCCTTCATGCCTCGCGGCCCCGCTCTGGTTTCTGCTCCCCAGACCCCTGGCCGGATGCTGGCTCCTGGGCTCTCACACTGCGTTAGTCTGTCTTCATGGGCCGCACTTCCCACTCTCCATGGTCTCACTAATAAAAGGAATTCTCCTCTTAACGACACAGTGCCTTCTTTCCTGTTTAGGAACCCCGAGGGTGGGCCCCTCCTGTCTTTGCAAACGGGAAGTGGGGGACCCCAAACCTGTCCTGCGGAGAACAAGGCTATGCTGGGCCACCATAAGATCAGGGTCTCCTGGAAAACACTAGGCACGTGAGTCTAAATTGAACAAAATGATACTCTTACTAAAGACGGCTCGCCAGACCAGCGGCCGGCCTTTCGCTTCCCGGTCTGTAATCAATAGCCTTTCCCAGAACAATTAGCCAGGCTCCTGGGGCCTGACTCCCCGAGTTTGCTATATTCCACGTGTGTCACTTCCTATGTGACGTGTGTGTTTACCTTCTTTACAGGAAGCGTTACATGGATGCCCCAGGTAATGTTCCCTATATGCGCAGGAAATTAAATGAGATACTTCTGTACGGGGCTGAGAATATCTTGTCTGTTAGCCAGATTTGCGTTCACAGCCAGCAGCTGGGAGCAGGAGACTTTGTTCTCTTAAAACGCTCCTCCCCTCACCCCTCTCTCTCCTCCCCCCTCCGCTCCCCCTCCCTTATCTCTTTCCCCCAGTGATCCAGGACTGGCATATGGGGACTCTGGCCTGTCACTCAACCAGGATTGGATCATATCCAAGGACTGTGCTCACTTACTGCCTCAGGTGTGTTTGGCAGCAGGTGGATACACATTGGGCCCTGAGTCAGTAGCTGTTGGTCTGTGATAGGCAGGGCCGCACCCCAGGCTCTGGCTGTGGGGCCTCAGAAACCACCCACTCCAGTGGGGTAACCACACCGGGTGCCCTACCAAGCAGACCAGGCGCCTCCAGAGCACCCCATGAAGGATGGCAGTTGGAAGCCCAGAAGTTAAGTAAGAAGCACGCAGCTCAGGTAACAAAACCCTCCAGGTGTGATGGCAAATTTGTAAAAGACAGAAGCGCACAGAGACCAGAGTCACCGCGGGCCTTGGAATCAGCGCTTTATATTTGAGCCAGAGAATCTTGTCGTTTGAGCAAATAAATGCAGGAGAACGCAGCCCTGGAGTGGAGACCCTGCCCCCTCTGGGGGACCCACGTAAATAAATAAACATTCAACACGTTTCCTTTGAAATGATCCTCACACATGGATGCCCCAGGATCATGTTCTCTTTGTAAAATAATAGTAATAACTACCTAGTTAAGAGGAGATGGAAATGTGTAGGGAAATGGGACTCAGCTTTATGTAAGTGGTGACAGATACCAGAGCAAGGAGGCTCCAGGTAGAACTTGTAGTGCTATTTGGCATCTGGTTTACACGCTGGGTGAGGCGGCCAAGCAGAGGTGCCGCCCAGGCCTGGGTCACCTGAGGGGGCTCTGTCCTCACCACTGGTCCTGGCCTCTCCTTGACCCGGGGAGGGAAGGAGGACAGAGACTTCGGAAACGTTCTCCTGATGTCTCTAGGAGGTTGGCCACAGAAGTAGGCGTGGTGGAGGCTGCTTTTTAAAAAAACAAACCAAAAAGAAGTTCTTTTTCAATCTCCCCCCTGTCATGGTGCGTAGGGGGGAGGCTTCTCCCCGGGGAGGAAAGGGGCTGGAGCATAGAGAGGCGGGACGTTGGGCGGGAGCCCGAAGCTGGAGCTGGACTGGGACGGAGGCTGCGTGTCCTCGGACAGAGAGAGGTCAGTGGAGGACGAGGCTGGGAAGCTGCTGGACGGCTGCAATGGAACAGAAAAGGCTTCCTCAGTCCGTGGAGAGGGCCAGCCGCACGCAGTCCACACGGAGCACCCCTCCAAGAGCCCACCTGGGGCTCGGGCTCCCCCAGACCCAGGGTCACCCGCCTAACCAAGGCCCTTGGGGTGGGAACACTCCCTGACCAGAGTGAGTTCTCAGGGAGGCCAGGGGGAGGCCCGGCCCTGCCCAGCGGGGGCCTCCTTTCCACAAAGTCCGCTCTTGCTGCCGCCTGTGGAAACACCCAGCTGAGGAATTCCTCAGCCTTCCCAGCCCTCACGCCTGCTGTGCGGGAGTCTCATTTTTCAAGGGCAAACATGTCCAAGGAGAAGGCTGCCCAGCTCATTTGGGGACCCCTGGGTTCACCCAACACGTCACACTTTAAGGAAAAGCCCAGGAGCTCAGCATTTGTCACCGAGTGTGACGATTAATTTTATGTGACAACTTGGCCAGGCCTCGGTGCCCAGATGTTTGGTCGAACACCTGTCTGGAAGTGGCTGTGACGGCATTTTGAGGTTGACACTGAAATCAGTAGACTGAGTAAAGCAGGTCACTCTCTGTGATGTCGGTGAGCCTCATCCAATCAGTTGAAGGCCTTAAGAGGACAAGACTGAGGTTTCCGGAGAGGAGGGAATTCTCCCAGGAGACTGACCTTGGGCTCGAAACGGCAACATCCATTCTTTCCTGGGTCTCCCGCCTGCCGTCCTGCCCTGCCCAGGACACCTTGCTCTGTCCCTGTCTCTCTATGTCTCTGTCTCAATGTCTAATCTACATCTATGTCTACATATATGTGCATCCATCCATCCTATTGGTTCTCTGGAGAACCCTGACGTAGACTCAAGTAAAAGTGATTGAGAAGAAAAATGTTTTTCCAGTTTTTCTCCATCTGCTAACAAACCTGTTACACTTTTTTCTTTTTCAAGTTCTAAGAGTTGAAAATGCCTACTTAAAACCGATCTTTAAACAAATAAAGCACACAGGCCCTGCTGTGAAATGCCACAGGGCGAGCGTAGGGCCCTGGTCTCCTGGCGGTGCTGTAATTCCTTTGCTCTCTGCCCGCCAAGTGCCCCGGGGCCCCCGAGAGGCCGACCTGTCTGCCTTGGCCTTCCCTGGAGGCTTCTCCACGAAGGAGGTCCAGGAGCCCCGACCTCAGGATCTGAAAGGAGGACTTCCCCACAAGCTGTCCCTGAAGCCAAGAGTGTCACCTTGCTCAGGGTCAACAGCCTGAGTTCTCAGGATCTGACAGCCCAGGGCCCCTGCCCACCTTTGTTTCTTTCTTTCTCTCAAACTCACACTCTGACCACAGGGACAAAGAAACCTCTAGAGAACATTCTCTGGGGAACATTCTGCTGGGAGCTCCCAGATCCCACCATGTATGTGTCCAGCTCTTCACTGGAAATGAGCACCTGGGAGAACCACAGCATAAACCACCCAGACCATAGAGCAAATCACCAGGAACCAGGGAGTAAACCAGAAGGAACCACGAAGTAAACCACCACAAATCGCAGAGCAACTTGCCAGGAACCATGGAGTAAACACCCTGAACCACAGAGTAAACTACCACGAACCACAGACTTAACCACCATGAACCACAGAGTAAAACACCATGAACCACAGAGTAAAACACCACAAACCACAGACTTAATTAACCACCACAAACCACAGAGTAAAACACCATAAACCATGGAATGAACCACCACAAACCACAGAGTAAACCACCACAAACCACGGAGTAAACCACCACAAACCACGGAGTAAAACACCACAAACCATGGAATGAACCACCATGAACCACAGAGTAAACCACCACAAACCACAGAGTAAAATACCATGAACCACAGAGTAAACCACCACAAACCACGGAGCAAACCACCACAAACCACAGAGTAAACCACCACAAACCACAGAGTAAACCACCACAAACCATGGAGTAAACCATCACAAACCACAGACTTAATTAACCACCACAAACCATGGAGTAAAACACCATAAACCATGGAATGAACCACCATGAACCACAGAGTAAACCACCACAAACCACGGAGCAAACCACCACAAACCACAGAGTAAAACACCATGAACCACAGAGTAAACCACCACAAACCACAGAGTAAACCACCACGAACTGTTGAGTAAAACACCACAAACCACAGAGTAAAACACTATGAACCACAGAGTAAACCACCATGAACCACAGACTAAAACACCATGAATCACAGACTAAACCACCACGAACTGTGGAGTAAACCACCGGTAACTGTAGAGTGAACTACACCGACAGACAGGGCCGGATCAGGGGAGTGGACAAGAAATCCCTTAATCACAGGGTGTGAGCGAAATCTCTCCTTGTGTCCTTGTTCACAAAACTCATCAACACCAACCCCTTCCCTGACTTTCCTGACCAATCAACTCCTAGGAGCAAGGAAGGTGGGTTCTCTTCAAAAAAATTTTTTCGGCCAACTGCTCAAATCAGCCACCAGCAGCTGTCTCGCCCCCTGCTGCTGTGTGGGAGCATTTTGCTGCTGAGGACACCCAGAGTCCCCTCCCTCTCAGCTGTCAGCAGAAACAGGAGCTTCAGTTCTGTTGTTTTTCTGCTATGGAAACACAGGAACCTCATTGATTTGTCCTCTCCTCAAAATCCAATTATTGACATATATGTAATTATACTCCTACATGTGCTGGCGATAATAGCTGATTAGGCCAACGGGACGAGAGCCCAGGCCTCCCCCGGGAGGGTGAAGAGGGGGCATCTGCTGCTTGTGAAGAGCCAGAGGGCCCCGAAGGAGGGAATATGACACTGAAGTCGAGCAGACCCACTCACCAGCACCGGGATTTAGGGATGGAAGACCATCCGCCACATCCTGCACTCCTGCAAGGAGCACGTCTCCTGAGGGAACACGGCAAGAGCAGGACACCAACCAGCACCCCGAAGTCAGGCTCCAGGCTTACCAAGAGCCCTGGCTGCTGCCCACCCCCAAGGACCACTCATGCATCCGGCAGTTGACACATGAAGATGTATGACTTCATTGCAAAGGATCAGGTCTGAGCCCCCCGCAGCACCCCTCCCCCCCAAGCGCAGAAACACAACTCCGCGTGCATGTTAATATTGTAAACTTCCTAGCACTTGCTGCTGGCGTTGTTAGTAGTACAGGCAAAAGAATGCTAAGCCCATCTGGTTGCCCACCCCGAAATGGAAGCCTAGGTAAGTTGTGTGGACCAGTGATTCTCATCTTCGACCCCCTGAGAACACTGGGCAACTTCTGGATACATTTTTGGTTGTCACAACGGGGGTGTACTGAGAGCTGGTGGGTGGAGGCCAGGGACGCTGCTCAACATCCTATAGTGCACAGGGCAGCGTCACCCCTCAGAGCTCTCTGGCCCCAACGTCAGTAGTGCCACGGTTGAGGTCTGGAGTACATAAGGCGACAGAGTATTAGGGTCTATTTCAACCAGAAGCTTCCTAGCTTATAAAGAAGGAAAAGCCGAAACCACAAATGGAAACAGAAGGACAAAGCAAACGCCACTCTACAAACAAGGTCTCACCCCCACCAAGTGCCCCACAACAACTCCAAGGCCAACAGCAGTATTTTAGGGTGAATCTATGACATCGCCATTGCTGTGGGCAGTGTGGTTGGGCATTGGCAAATTCACATGGCTCCATCTAAATAACTGTGCTATGCTGACGGGGCCCAGGCACCTGGTGGTATGTCCCCAGCTGCTCTGGCCCAGAAATCGCAGTGAACTTTTGTTGATTGAGAAAGGATAGCCCTGGCCGGTGTGGCTCAGTTGGGTGTTGTCCCATTACACCAAGAGGTCACCAGTTCCATTCCCGGGCAGGGCAGATGCCCAGGTTGCGGGCTCGATCCCCAGTAAAAGGCGTTGACGGGGCCCAGGCACCTGGTGGTATGTCCCCAGCTGCTCTGGCCCAGAAATCGCAGTGAACTTTTGTTGATTGAGAAAGGATAGCCCTGGCCGGTGTGGCTCAGTTGGGTGTTGTCCCATTACACCAAGAGGTCACCAGTTCCATTCCCGGGCAGGGCAGATGCCCAGGTTGTGGGCTCGATCCCCAGTAAAAGGTATACAAGAGGCAGCCGATCTATGTTTCTCTCTCTCTCTCTCCCTTTCTCTCTGTCTAAAACCAATAAAAACATATATTTTAAAAAAGAAAGAAAAGGTTAGAGTCCTGAAGGACACCAACAATTTGTCACCATGACCATGTGGAGCAAAGGATGTCCAAACTGCCAAGTTTGGCTGTGGGAGACTGTGTGTGGAGTGACCGGCCACATCACCCCTCGGATAATCCCAACCCCTTTCCCAGTCCATGCCTGCTCCGCCACCACATCACCTCCATGAGGAGAGGGGAAGCCCTGGGTCTTCCTTCAACCCAAGCTCCCCTGCACGTCCCGTCTGACCAGCGCTGTCCTGCATGACTGCGGCCCGTGATGTGAGCACCGCGGCTTCAGGCAGGTTAAGCTCGGCCTACCTGGAGAGGCAGAGGGTAGGACGAGCAGGTGGGGAGGGTCGCCGGTGCCGGGCAGAAGCCGGAGTAGGCCAGGATCTGCTGGGCAGGGTTGTAGAGGATCTGGGGTGGAGCAGAGGGTCTGTAGGCCAGCTGGGACAGAGGGACCTGCCACAGAGAATGGAGATGCATCAGCCAGCCCCCCAAAGCCTGGCACCTTCAGCCTCGAGCAGTCCCTCCAGGGAGCCCCATGCTCAAGTCATCCAGGAAGGTGAGGTCCTAGCAGATCTGCCAGGGGGAGATGCCACGAGTCCTCAGATCAAAATCTCTCATATCGGAACTAAACACCTGAAAAGCGGGGCTTATTTTTGCTTTTTATTTTTTTAATTTGTCCCAGAGACCCACTAAGATTCCAGGTTAGGCCCAGGCCCTCTTTGGTGCTGTTTTGATAAAGCACAAAAACCCCTGGTCCCTCCCCTGCAGGTGACACAGTGTTACACCACCTCCCACGCAGCTTCGGCCATAGCGGGTGGACGGGCTTCCATGCTCAGACGTGGTCCTACTGGGCTTGCTTCCCTCATGTGCCAGCCCCGGGGACACAGCCCAGGGGTTTCTGGGCTGGTACAGCAGGGGCTGGGCCACACAGAGGGCAGGGGGCGAGAGGAGCATCCTGGCCAGAGGAAACAGCTGCAGCCAGAGCCCTGGGGGGCTTGGGCTGAGCAAGGGTGATGGAGGTTGAAGGTCAAGGTTCACAGATGATCTCATGGGCTGAAAAGGAACCCAGCTGGCCTTGCTCAGCATTTTTGCCATTTGGGGTTTAGGAAGGACAGGGCAGGGACGGGGGTTCTCCCATGAAGGAGCTAAACATTTTGGCATGGGCAGCTTCACTCTGTCTGCAGGAGGCACTGGGAGGCCCGGCCCAGCTTTGGCCCTGGCTGCCTGCATCTGCCTGGTCTTGCCCTGGCCTCCTGTCTACCTTTCTGTGTTGGTGACCTCAAGGAGCCCCCAACTGGACCAACAGGACTGTCCACCTCATTTCTCAGTACATACACCTGAAGATCAGTGCAGACCCTTCCCCGCCAGACAGGGTTTAAATGACTGTCTGTAAGTGTTGTCACGGTGCCCAGGCACCTCCTCAGGAGCCCCGCTGCAGACCCCAGACTCCCCCTGCCCCACCTGCTGGGCAAAGGGACTTACTCTGCACCCAGTGTGACGAGCATGTGTGACCTGCATATGAAGCCCTCGTACGCTGAGAGGGCACACACAGCTTTGGGCTGGTTCATGAAGGGCCTTCGTTCCTTAAAATAATTTTAAATTATAAGATCCATTAAACTTATAAGAGTACTAGTGACCCGGTGCACGAAATTCGTGCACATTAAAAGGGAATTAATTAGAAGAAATATTTTAATATTGCTATTTGCCCTTTCTCTATAAGTGTCAACCAAATTCACGATTGACAATGACAGATCGAAACACACGCGTGCAGTTGGCACCAGCAAGAGCTTTATAACATGTAGATAAACTTGCTTAATTAGACCTGATTTCTGATTTAGCTAAATCTTTTCCAGCCCAGTGAAGAACCCCAACTTCTCTTTTAGGTAATTGTCAGCAACACAGCAGCCCCCCCCCCCCCCGGGGGGGGGGGGGGGGGGGGGGCGCAGCCTCAGGTCCCCCATCAAGCCCTGCCAGGTGGGGGGTGCACCATGAGGTCCCCCGTTAAGCCTCGCTGGGCAGGGGACATGGCCTGAGGTCCCCTGTCAAGCCCCGCTGGGCGGGGAGTGCGGCCTGAGGTCCCCCATCAAGCCCCGCAGGGTGGGGGGGGCATGGCCTGAGGTCCCCCAGCCTGGTGCCAGGGCAGGGGGCACGGCTTGAGGTCCCCTGTCAAGCCCCACCAGGCGAGGGGCGCAGCCTCAGGTTCCTGCTGATTGCTCGTTAAGGCTCGTTATGGGAACTCAGCCTCCGCTGTGAGTGCAGCCATCTTGATGATTGCTCATTAAGGCTCGTTATGGGAACTCGGCCTCGGGTATGGGCGCAGCCATCTTGATTGTTATGGTGTGATGGTCAATTTGCATATTCCCTCTTTATTAGATAAGATGTACTCAGTAGGTGTAAAATGTTAAGAAATCATGCTTTTTGCTTCTCACAGCATCCCAGAGCTTTGGGTTGGAGAAAGAAAATTGTCCAGAGCAGAGTTTAGACACAACGCTGCAGTCTGGTGGGAAATAGTGGCCCTTCTGGGGCATCGCTACATTCCTGATAGAACGCCTATACTGAGGGTTTTCGCAGAGGGCGCCCTGTGGGACCCTCTGCAGACCCCAGGCACCCTGGGAGAGCTGTGGCACCCATTGGAGACTTTGCTGAAGGCATGGTGACCAGCGACTTTCATCCCTGGAGGGTGCTTGTCTTTTCCATGAGTGTAAAGAATCTTATAACCACAGCCAGAGCTTGGAGAGGCCGTCTGCCCCCTCCAGGGTGGCAGCCAGGAGGAAGGTTTGGGTCCTAGGGGACACCAGGATGTCCCGTGTTAGCTCAGATTTTATCTAGAGAAACAAAACCTTTTAGAAAATCATAGATCTCGGGAGGAATCCAGGCTCAGCTACTAAAAACGGTCAATGACCAAAGTCTCCAGAACAGCTGAGTAGCAAGAGACTCGGGAAGAGCTTTAGCTGCCGGGCAGGTGCCTTGCCTGCAGGTGCGTTCACACTGGCCTTAGAGTTAACTCTGGGTCATGGTGGGTGGCTCCTCTCTCAGCTGTTATGTGCATGCCGAGGGGTTTGCAACTGGGGACTCTGGGGAGCTGCCCTTCGCCTGCGGCACCTCTAGGATGAAGGGAGGGTTGTTGCAGGAGGTGGCACGGTGGTGAGAATTTCTAGTTTGGAACAAAGAGGTGCCATAGGGAGAGGACTGGAGAAGGGGGACCCTGCAGCCCAGCCCCAGGCAGGGCTATTTGCCTGTGAAAAGGGAACCATGCTGAGGGGAGGCTCAGCTAGAGCAACCTTCACAGTGAGGCCCTGCAGTCACTGCCCCTTCCTGGCGCTCCGGCACACGCTAAGCACCCGCTCTCCCTAGTTCTTGCATCAGAATCACCTATGAGTTTGGGAGAGTGCAGACCCCAGGACCACCTGCCCCTCCAGATCTACCAAATCAGAGGCTCTGGTGATTGCACACGCAGTCGGGGTGAGAGGTGGTGGAGACAGACACATCTAAGCGTCAAGTTCAGATTCTTCCTCAGAGGGTGGAGGCGAGTGCTGGGACAGACTCTGCTTCCAGAAATGACCGGCAAAGGCTGGCTGTCCTTAAAATGTATGGTGGGTGGTGTTCACGAGCCTCAGTTTCCCCATTTGTGAGGGGGGATCACGAGGCCTGCCTTGTGTGCCTGCAAGAACATGGGCCCCGAAGCCCTTGTCCGTCCCGAGTGCTGTTGCTGCCCAGCCCGGGCGGCACTACTCACCATGTCCTTGAAGGCCCCCAGGACCGCGGCCGTGACGATGCCCAGGAACAGGCCCAGGACGTTGAGCACCGTCGAGGCCCAGAGCAGCCGGTAGAGGTGGACCACATCCTGACAGCCGCTCACGCCCACGAACTCATAGTAGGTGGGAGAGTACTCGGTGCTGCACACGGGAGGAGACAACAGTGTCACCCGTGCCTGCGAGGAGAGGACCTGCCAGGTGACAGCCGGGCTGGGAGGACGCAGGGCTGGGCCAGGTGAACTGAATCCAGACCGGCCGTGGTCTTTGCTCTCAAAGGCCCCGAGGGCCCCAGTGGTCATGCCAGAGAGAGGCACCAGCCCAATGGCACCCTGAGGCCAAGGCAGCAAGGCTGTCCCCACCCAGGGAAGGAGCCCCGGGCTCTGAGCAGAGAGGATGGCACCATCACCTTGCCCACTCCCCAAACACAGGCCCTGCACAGGGAGAATGCAGGCCCCAGCGCCCCACCAATGGGGCCCCAACTGAGTCAGCCTTCAGCAAGCGGCCGCGCTGGTGGAGGGATTCATCCTGGCCCCCACAGCATGGCTGAGATGAGCCTGCTTCCTGGCCACAGGAGGCTGCTGGGGGCAGTCGCCGTGACCCACACATGCTGCTCCTCCGTTTCATCTTGGAAATAGCGTGGACCCTTTTCTCGGGGAAGGGGGTGCAGCTTAAACCCCTGAGATTTCCAACAATTCCGGGGGGAGTACCCCAGGAGCAAGCGTTAAAATTCCCCCTGGCTTTAAGGTAAGTGTTCAAGCTGTTAATACAAATGTAGAAGACAATGGGGGAAGGATTTCGGTTCCAGCTTGGAACTCGCACTGGGTCCCAACAACAAATGAAAAGCCGAATAGCCTGGAAAATCAACAACTCGTTTTGGGTCCTAAGAGGGGAGGATGCAGGACACACGGCTGCTCCCAGATTGGAGATGCAGACAGGTGGATACAGGAGCCCAGCTCCGCGGACACACTCAGGAGCGGAAACGCCCAGGCCCCAGGGGCCGGGGTAGAAAGCGGATCTGTAATGGTGATCTGCTATGACTTAAGTCAGCATTAAAATCTGTGGGGAACCAGTCATGGGGGCCCCACAAGGCTGTGAGATTCACCTTTAGGAGCTCAACCTGGTCCCACACTAAACACCCAGAAAAATGCTCTCGGGCTTCCAGCAGGGGGAGGGAAAGGGACAGTTCTGAAACAGCCAGAGCTGCTTTCTCAACAGGCCTGGCCTCGGGGACACTGGTACCCAGGGCCTAACCTGCTGGAGTGTTATCAAGGGGAATACCCAACTCCAGCCCTGTTTAGCCATCTGTCCCAGCTGGGGCGGGGGCGGGGGGGAGCAGGGGCGGACACTAAGAAAGGCTGGTGAATTCCACAGGCCAGAGGCACAGGCTCACTACAGAGACATGATCATGGGGCTTATAGGACACTTCCCCTCCCCACACCTCACCACATCACTGAGCCTCGGTTTTCTCATCTGTGAAATGGAGCTAACTCCCTTCCCTCACATAAAGACTACAGGTGATGGTGTAGGTGCAGTGTCCAAGGACAGGGAAGAGCAGAGAAGGGGGAGGAGGGAGGCATGAGAAGAGGGGCTGCCTCCCCTCCTCCCATGAGGCACCCTCCCCGCCCACTCCCTGCTGGACTCACCTTTGGCAGTTGTAGAGGTCACAACAATAGCAGGTGTTGCTCTTCACCTTCAGCTGGCACTTGCCATTGAGGGAGTGACAGGTGACCTGCAAGCAGAAAGGCCTTGCCGGGTCTCAGGGACCTGTCCCCTGTGTGCCCGCTCATTCTCTCCCCAGGGTGAGCAGGGCTGCACCCTGGTCAGTCAGGCAGTTCTCCCCGCTGAGCCCACATTTCTTGACCTTCCCCTTCATCCCCCTATTCCAGGTGCTTCGGGGTTGGGGCGTGACAGGACTCTGCCCTGCAGGAGGAGTTAGAGGACCAGGCTCAGT